AAATCTGGGAGTTTGAGATTTGCAAATGTTAGCCACTCTGTATAAAAATAGATTAAAAAAACAGATTTCTTCTGTGTAGCACAGGGAACTATATTCAGTATCTTGTAATAACCTTTAATGAAGAAGCATATGAAAACGAATATATATGTATATATGCATGACTGGGACATTGTGCTGTACACCAGAAATTGACACATTGTAACTGACTGTACTTAATTAAAAGTTATATATTATTAAACTGAATGTTGTATTTTTCTTTGTAAAACCATTCCCCAAACTAAATTTTCGCTGTGTGTTCTGCAGATTAATGTATTTGCTTAATAGAAAAATAATTTTCACTTCCTCTAAAGTAACGTACACCTATTGTCTGTTTTCCTTCTCTCTCCTTTGCCCATTTCTTCCTAACATTTACCAGGGCTGGAATAACTATTCTTTACTCATCAAGGGGTGGCTGTGAGGAAAAGATGATTGCTTTTTAAAAGTGTTGAAACAACCCAAATGTCCATTAAGAGTTGAATAAATTGTGGTAGAGTCAGACCGTGGAATACTACACAGCACTAACAATAAAGAAGCCCCACAACACTGTGGATGGTTCTAACACACATAATGTTGACAGAATCAGACACAAAAGAAAATATACTATATAATTCTGATTTTTTTATAAAGTAAAAAACAAGTAGGTAAATCTACAGTCAAAGAGGCTACTTTTGGGGGGAGAGGCAAGTAAGAGGGCCAGTGGGATGGTGGTCATGTGCTTTTGACTGAGGTGATGGCTAAACAGTGTGTTCACCTAATCCTTATGATTTACAAAATGTTAGGCGTTCTATGTAATAAAATAGTTTATTAAGCAAACAAGGGCCACACAAGATAGGCAAAACTGCTCGTTATTTTTTTTTTTAGAGAATGAGATGTTTATATGCTCATTTGACCCCTTCAGTAAATATCAAAAGTGAAAATGTGCCTGAGCTTCATATGACCATTTAAGGGAAAGGGAATAAATAAGGATAAACTGAAGGTTAGTTAGAAGCTTGACATTTTTCAGAGTCTCAAGAGGCCAAGAGCCAATTCACTTACTAAGAGAACACTTTTTAAGGGAAAAAGAAAATTTAACTCATTGACCTTAAAAGGGTAAGTTTTGTCAACAATTTTTCTAGACGGGTAAACTGTCTTGTTTGATAAAACTGAAAAATAAGCCACTTGTTTTGACGTTGAAGGCTAAGGACAAAAGATGTTTTACACTCACTGATATCTAACAGTTTAGATTTTAATTTCCATCCAACTAGGCTGCTTTTTCTATAAACAGTTTTTATTTTAAAATACCCTAGCATTCATTCTCTCTGGGCCGTATCTTCATCTGTAGAGTGAGGCTACAGGACTGAGGAATTCTTAATTTGGAATCCATGAATGGTCTGCTCTTTGAATCCCTTGAAGATGAATCAAAACTATACATACATGTGTAAATGTGCATTTTTGTGGGGAATAATCTATAGCTTTCATCTGATTTTCACAGAGATAGCACAAAAACTAGCCAGTTTCTAATGCCCCTTACAATTCTGAAATTCTAGGATGAGTGAAACAGAAGATTACTTTTCATGGACCTATAAATTAGAGGTTTTGTCGAAGACCATTTAGAAGGGTGAGTGTGTGTTGACCAGAATGATTAGACATTTTTAAGCAGTTCTTTTTACATTTTGTGTTTTTAAATTATAAAATCAAAACTAGTAGATAAAAGTTTGAAACATCTTTAGCCCTTAGCCCTCTCCTGGATCAAATACTACCTTCCCCTCTAAAGGCCACGAGTCTGAGGGATAAAGGACAGTGTTCAGAAATGCTCAGTGTCGTCTACTGGGGGTGTGTTCCTGTTTGCTCCGTTCTGGGGCCTGGGACAAGATGGGATGCAGGGAATGAAGGTGACAGTGGCTGATAACACCTCAGATTTGCCTGCAGTTAAGAACTCAATGCGTAAGACTAACATGGATGCTGTGAAGACGGTCTGGATCTGACAGAACCACCAAAACTCAACGTTTGTCTCTATCTCTGTGATAGTATCGCCTCCTACTCACCTGGTCCTGGGAAACTCTTTTAGGGCCTTAGATCTTGGGTGCCTTTCCTGTTCCTCCGACTTGGAGAAGAGCGTTTCAGTTAACAGGTGTATAACTGCCATTAAATATACACTCAAAAGAAACTGGGGTGGAGAATCAGGTGCGAGTAACTCTAATTCCACCTTCACTGTCCAGAATTAATATAGATGGCCCAGGTCAAACTATTTTCCCGCAAAACATCTCAACATCTCTGCTTTTTAAATTTAAAAATATCCGAGGGAGGTATGTATATATAGCTCAGTGGTAGACTGCGTGCTTAGCATGCACAAGGTCCTGGGTTCAATCCCCAGTGCATCCATTTCAAAACACCACGAACAAAACCCCCCAAAACCCATCTAATTACCTCCCCCAACAAAATAAATATAAAATAAAAATTTTTTAATTAAAAAAATTAAAATGTCCAAGCAAAACTGATTAGAAATGTGAGGAGACACTGGATGTCCATTAGTGAAAAAGAAAACCATTGCAGCCATTCTGCTGAGTGCTGTTTAAACTTCAAAGCAAACGACATCAAAGAAAACAGGAAAATGCACAGCTACTTTTAACCATTTGCTTTTATTCCAGAGAATAACTGCTTGACAAACTCTTAAATCATGAAGTTTGAACACAAGTGTCAGTCCTCTGAAACAAGTCTGTGAGGTAGGTGTCTACACAGCCACCGGGACCGACAGTCCTTTCTTCCCGTGTTGCTGTCAAATGCTGAGAATTGCAGGATCTGGAACCACTGTTCTAGTGGGCAGTTTCAACAAGTCTCTCCTCCGTTCTCGTTCCCCACAGAGCTGCTCCAGTTATCATCTGCTCCTGGGGCTGGACCATCTGTTTTTGTGAAAGTTGCAATGTTGTTGTTTACAAAAATCCAAATCGTTGCTTTGATTTGATAGGATCTAGCTCTGAATCATACAAGTTCTACTGTGATGTTTCAAACACTGACTGACTCTACTTACTTTAAATACTCTCTCAGACCCCTAGTTCATGTATTATCAGTGATCCATAAAGATGACGTAGTGAGCAGGTCTAAAATTATGAGAAGCCAGCATGTTCCCTCTTCAGTTTAGCAAGACGTCATACGGTGTTTTTGTATGTTACAAAAGTTGGTACGTTACACTTCGACCAGGAATTCCAGATATTACAGTAAAAGTATTGTAAGTAGAAATGTGACACTTGAAGCAGAACACATGCACAGAAAATTAAACCCTTTCAAAGTGACATTGCTTTAGCCCCACAGCAAATTTGTAATTGGCAGGAAATGCATTTCTAACCTGGTAAATGGTGCTGTAACCAACTACTCAGCTTCTCCAGTTAGTGACTGCAGCTGAAACGCTTTTCCATGAAGTATGCCACCCTACTAGAGATTGGATTTGAAAGTGTAGAAGCAAGGTGCGTGGAGCCTTGCTCTGTTGTCTTTCTAGACCTTTCCTCCTAGAAGCACTTAAGATGTCCTAGTACAGTGTGTGTCCCACAAGGCTCTGGGGACCACAGCGTCTCCTCGTGTAGGAGTCCTCCTGGGAGCCTCACAGCCATCACTTACTTGTGCGTGGCTTCAGACCAGAAAAAACCTTTCACGTTTAACAGGGATTTTACCTATGAAACGGAAGCCCATGCTCTGCCTTTTTCACAGAACTGTCTTTGAGGATGAAATGAAACGTATGCAAGCAACTGCTTTAATTACAATGTGCTCCACTTAAGAATTCTGTTTTTCTCTGTGACAAGCAGCAGCTTTGGCTGCGGTCCAAATTAGAAGACCCTTTTACTGATACTTCATTCAGCGTCTCAGGAGTTGATGGCTAGTCTGATTAACTTGGAAAAACTGTGACAGATCAGTGTTTTCTCCCCCTCTGACCACAGTGAGGCTCACGGATGCAGGAATGGACAGGAGGACTAGCAGTGACTGCAGGCGGCAGGGCTGACACTGACTGTCCCCTGGGGATCAGTGACCACCACGTCCAGTTCCCTGGCAGGCTGTGCCAGCTGAGGGGGGTTACAATTTCATAATACTGGTGGTTTTGATTCTGCTCAAACAGAAGACTGCAGAGAGAGCGTTAGGTAGCTTGTGCTGCAGTCTTCCAAACACTCAGATAACTTTCCCCCTGAATATCTCATTCAGTGCAAGGCCTGATAAAGCTGGGCTACGTCCTGCCGTCTAGGGACAGTATTACAGAATTTTTCTGACAAGAGACGACTAACCCAGTTTGTCTATTCGATTGCTGTAGTTCACCAGTAATTTCTTGCCAAATTTAAATAGTGTTCCTAGTACCCTCCTCGGGTCTCTGATGCTCACAGCCACAAAGAAACAATTTTCTCAGGAATGCACCAAACTACGATGTGCCTGCAGTATCACCCCGGTTCCTGAAAAAAAAAGTCCCTTTACAAGTTACTTTCATAAACGATTCCTAGAAAAGGACCCAGCTCTTACTGAAATGTCATAACTGAGAACGGCAAGTATGCTGACTGGAGCAAATGTCTTAAATCTTGTTAATTCTATTGATTAAGAGATGTTCTGTGAACCAGAATATGAAATCAGATGACAGAGTTCAAGTTTCTTCTTCCGCTTTCAGCCGATAACAAGTGATTTTTTCAGAATGGAAAAGCAGAACTGCTCCAAATGCACAAAACTTAGCTAGTCCTAAAAGAAACACTGATTCCCCCCCCCAATATTGTACAATATTTTATTGTAATAAAAATATTTAGGTGAGTCTCAGAGCAACAGATGATCACATGGGTACTCACTGAGAAGCATAAACTGTACATTTGACAATATCTTACTATACATCCAATTAATCTGAGTAATTTGGCGAGGGGGAAGAAAATATAAGCATCCCATTTTATTTCACATTTTCCCACAGACTTTACAGACAACACAGATCAAGATACAGTTGTAATCAGGATAATTCTAACCTTAATATTAGAACCTGCAGCATGTACAAATTCCAGTCATCTATTGCTAGGCATTTGCCAGATGATAATCACATGTTTGGCATACAGTGGTTTGAGGCTTGGAAGATGATATTCAAATGCTTTACACGGCTGTGGTCCTTCTGTCTGGTTTTACACGTTAGCCCCCAATTTTTGTCAACTCGTTTTTTTGTTCATCTGTTTAGTCTCTGTGTTATGACTTCTCGATACATAATAGAGATGTAGATGAGCAACAGAAAGATGACAAAGAAATCATCGAGAAAGCCCAGGATTCCAAACAAGGCTTCAGGTACGAAGTCTAGAGGTGATATAAGGTAGAAAAACGCTCCCATTAAACAAAGTATTATCCTGATACGGAACATCCAGAAAAGGCCCCCGACTGAAAACATCTCCCTGAACGCATGCCTCAGTAACGTGGGCAGGTCCATGATTCTTTCCATAATCTGGTAGGGGAAAAACAGATACTGTGATTTGGCATCTAACGCGTCAGACTTCAAAAATCATGTAATTTTCTTACAACATGCAGACAAACTCAGTTAACATGAATGACAGAGTTTCGCATATTGGTCAAACGGCATATTTTCTAGTTACTCATTTTTTAAAAAAATAGTTCTTTGATTACTAGGTTCTTATAAATAGGTCTTATAGGAGATAATTGAAAAGCAACTAAAATGTCAACGAACTTAAAACATAGGCTATAGTAATACGAAACTCAAGTTTATCTCTAATTGGAGTTAGTAAAATAAACCAATAAAACCCTATAGGATTAGTCTGAGGCTTGGGCTCAAGTCTCAGCTTTAAAAGTCAGACAGATCGAGGTTCAGATTCAAAGTCAATCACTTATTAACCAGGTTACCTTGGGGAAAGTTGTTTAACCTACTAGAGATTAGTCAACAATTGAGTATGTGCCACGAGGACTATTAAAAACCAGAAGAAAAAAAAAAAAGAACCAGAAGAGATATTGTTATGAAAGACCTTTATAAACCGGCACACAATATGTAAGTACCTATGTGTATTTATAAGTATATACCGACACATCAACTTTGATAACTTTGACAGTCTTAACAATAGCAATGAAACTGATTCCTTCCAAGGATGTTGATTCTGCTTAGCTTGAGTTTAAGTGAATTACTAATTGCCACAAAGATTTTCGGAATGCCGGGCCTTACCCTTTCTGGAAATGAGTAAGTTTCTGGATATATAC